AAATAACATAAGATATATTTACTTATATATATTTATGTGTGTATCACTTATACATATTTATATTATAAATATTATATGAATATACAAATAAAATATATATAAATAAATTATTGTGTATATATAGATATATACATATATATATATATATAAATATATATATATATATATATATATATATATGTATGTATGTATATATGTATATATACATGCATATGACAAATTATTCTTTTTTTACCTAAAATGAATTTGTGTCATTGTCATGACTTTTGATTGATCAAGGAAAGCTTTTAAATATAAGATTCTTTATAGATTTAAAATTATTATTACTTTACAGGGATTAAACTAATATCGATAACATTCCGCTGGTAAACCTTTAAATATAAACACATACATACATATATACATACATACATACATACATACATACATGTTATACATATTGTCTTGATCATTCTATTTCAAATTTGTTCGATGCAGCGATTGCAAATTGCAATAAGAATTTGTTATATTTGTTACGGTCCGTTAAAGATCTCAGACAAATTTGTTCTCTTTGTGTGCTAATTCTTTCACTTTCACATATTTACTAAATTTTGAAAAAAAAAAACCTTTAATTATTTCCATTTCCATAACACGATCAAGTTTCCTTTTTAGATTACATCGCGTGTTCTTTGTAAAAAGACTATATTTCGGTTATAAATATATGGTATAATCATCGTTAACAAATATCCCATTTTCAATAGTATTTATTAATTAATCTTTGAAAGTTAAAGAATTTACAAAACTAAAAATCGCATTACATCCTTTCCCTTACTTACTTACTTACTTATTTACTTATATAGGACGTTTTGGCAGTTGTAATCTGAACCCTTTGATGCCCAATAATTACCCAATTTTCAATATTTAAAAAAATCGAAATCATCGATTTTTTGTCAAAAAGCCTGACTAAGCCTGCACGGGCTTTGAAAATTCACTTGCAATGATATGAAAAAATTTGAGAGAATTTAGTGACCCCTCTCAGCAAAAAAGAAAAAAAAAAACAAAGAAAAACGGGCAAGTACATAAACGTTTATATGCTTTGCAGCATCTTTCAATCAGAATGCTATGCGTTACATATATTTTCCAAAGTTGAAAAGGCGATGACTTATCTGTTGAAAAGCAAATCGATAGAAGAGATAGAGTGCGTACCTATTAAACGCAAAACGTCAACATATTTCTTACGAAAAGAAATTCTGATCACCTAACTGATCTTGCTATTGCGCCATTATGCCTGTAGTTCAGAAGAAAAAAATTTCCGATTTACAATTCACTGATCTAGAATCGTATTCCGAGTTCTCCTGGATCCTAAGTTAAATATTGTTTATTTTATTTATTTATCTTTTCCTTTTTTTTTTTTTTTTTGTTTAAATTACTTTTATTTCTGAATTCATACCGAAGAGAGAAAATATGTTAATTTCTAGTGAAGGGATTTACGTTATTCTTTGTCATCATTGGAATGAAAACTATATATAAAAAACATTGAAAATGAAAAATAAAAAAAAAGCGAACTAAAAGAAAATCAAAAGGTGTGACATAATTAATTTTAAAAAAGAATTTGTCATATACATAATTTATATATACCAAAATATAATTAATTTATATATAAGAAAATCTGAAACTGAATAGATTTTGAAAAGTATTAAGAAAACAAAAAAAAAAGAAAAAAAAACAAAAAAAACAACAACAAAGGAAAAATTCAATAAGGAAAATCCTTAATAAAAAAAAAAAAAAAACCAAAAAACCACTTGAAAGGAATTGTTTTACTCTATTTACTCTAGGGGAGTATAAAGGTACATGTAGGAATATACTATAATGAAAGTTTGCGGGATAAAAAAATTTATATAGAACAAGGAAAACAAGGAAAAACAGTATATAGGGCCACGGCCCACTACTGAATAACCTACACCACCCTACAGTGATTCATATATCGATTTTTCAAAATAAAACGTTATATGGGAATTGATCGAAAAAGTGGTCCAAAGTGAACCCAAATTATTTTCAACAGCGTTTGTGCGTGGGCCGAAACATTTCAGTGTATCAAATTTCATTAAAATATCTTAAAATCGCCGTTCGCTAGGCGGGAATACAAGAAAACAAGAGGGACACACGGACAGACACGCACAGATATTGATTCTGAATCGGTGTAGGGTTTACCTCAAATCCTTCTGGGCATTGTATATACCCGCGCAAAAACTACATATATCTTAATACCACAAGTGGCGTAAGGTATAAAAATAAATAACAAGACGAAAATAAATCATGAATAAGTCTAACGTAGACGCATGCAGATAGCTCATCGAAATTATCGCAAATGTAATATGTTATAATGGGAATTACAAGCACTTTTAACAGTGAAGGTAGGGTGACAAAGCTGACAGTTATCTAAGGTATGGGAGAGTGCTGGAGTGCATTAATTTCTATAATACAATAATTGATGGTTAATATTGATCAAGGTCTCGCTATAATTATCGGTATAAATTACGCTCGCCTCTAAGCCAGTCTTTTAATAAGATGTTCAATATACCTAGTGAGCCAATTCAAGGAAGCTATTAACGGTTGATTCGGTCAAGCTAATTGGGTAACTTAAAATCTTGCATTTCACGTGAAAGTGACATGTAGGATGCAACACTGGAGACTGCGTGATATATGACGTAAGCTTTCTTAGCAGAATTCATTCTGTTAAAAAGAATTTTGAAACCAAGTTTCAAAAAAACATTGCAATCATTATTGATTCATATATTTTTATATAATTAATAGCCCTACAAAGAAATTCTTTACATTGAAATTTTTCATTTCATAAAATGTACCTGTTGCATTCAATTCCCCCGAAATATCAGGTATAAATGGTTTTACGTTTGCTGTGTGCACGAAAGTCATTGCCTACAATATGTGTTTTTCTGATTTTACATGGATTGCATTGAGAAAAAGCAAAGCAGGTAAAGTTTTCGAAGATGATTAAGTTGGCGTCGAGTAAAAATACAGGTAGCTATGAATTAGTTAGATAGTGGTATGCGTGATTTTGGGTAATAAATTTTGGTCTTGTAAACAACGAAAATTCCTTGTACATTTGTCTGTCTCCATAAAAAGCAACGCAGGAAGTGTTCGTCAACCTGGGCTAGGGACTGATGCCGTTTTGCGGCCTATTCTTCAGATCTGTCTCCATTAGATTACCACTTGTTAAGATCGATGAGGTCAAATTTAGCGGGTCAGCGATTTGCAGAAGTAAAAAAAAGTTTCTACAACGAGGGTATCTCTAAGCTGCCCGATAAATGGCAAAAGATCGTACGGTCACAGGCGATTCGTGGGTCGTCAAATTTTATAGAAGGCTTTTCGAGAAATTTGTAATTTTCCCTCTTTTTCCTGGCGCCTACGTACATAAACTTCTAGAGATTTTGATAGATAGATCGCTTTAATAAAATCTCTGCGCCAAATTCAAAAACACATAAAAACTTGAGAGACTCACAACACGCCCACATTTACTGAAACAGCAAATATAAAATATCGTGTATATTACGAAAAACTATAAGATTTTTAGTCTGCACATTTAACTTTGCGGTGTTGCCAACCTATAATATTATTATATTACATATTTGAAATATATATCACGTATGAATTTTTATTTACAAGCTATAAAGGCTGCTCGTGACTATTAAAAAACTTCGGCCCTAGCTGAGTATGGCTTCTTTCTTATTTCATTTAGCAGGAGAGAAAATATATTTACGCTTGGATATTCTAATGAAAATTTCAACGTCATAACCGTTTGAACTGAAAGATAGGTAGAGAGTTGATGAAAATTTTCCTTTATTCACGATTCACAGGTATTTAAAGAATTTTATTCACTCCTTAAGCAGGGTGTAAGAGAGGTGACATCTCTATCAATTTATAGTCGGTAATTAGTTAATTATACCCTAAATAGCTTGTGCGTATGCATGTGTATATTCATTCGTGCATTCAAAAGGACTTGAGCAGGATATAGTTTTTATTTTAATAATATAATCAGAACTAAGTATATCTAAATGTGTGTTCTGCAAATCGCAATTTCCGGGATATTGTGATAAAATTCGGTATACCTTTAAAGATGAATTGCGTGGAACCATTTTTAGGATTGCTACCCTTATCAAATTTTATCGTAAAGCATTTCTTACATCGCAAAACAAAAATGTCAACTTTTTACTGTCTCCCGATGAAAATCGGTAAAAATCGATCGGCGTTCGATCAATTTTTGAACCAATTCGTACATAAACTCTCTTTCAATGGCAACAGCATTAAATTTTTAATCTAATAACATGATTTGACATAACTTTTTTTGTAAGGCTTTTAACGAACGAAAATTAAGACTTAATGATAAGGTATAATTTTCTTGTATTTTAAGGCGCGAAAATAAATAATGAAATCTTATGCAAGAATCGATGTGTGGTATTTAAAGGTCGGCCATGCCTGCCTATAGGGTTTCCTTCTGTGCGCATATGAAAATGTTACGGCGAAATTATTACTAGTTTACCTGCGCGCATACCTGTTGTCATACGCGTCTATCGTAGGCATATAATGGTCTATGAGGTAAAAAGAAAGTCAGTGCGTAATATTTTTCACATTACTGTATAAATATTGTTGCGAGAATAAATGAGAATGAGGAGAGATGGCTAGGCAAGAGGAAATATTAAATTATTTAGACAAAACAAAACGAAGCATGTATTCTAGGAGACAGAGGAAAATGAGTAAAGCGCTAATTTACTAATACACCTCATATAATAACATAACATAAGTGTATATATTTAATACTTAAGCTGCGCTAAGTTAGCCTACGAGAGCAATAATATTTGTTCAATTATTTTGTTATTGCAATCGTACCGATTATAAAAGTCTACTGCTTGGTGATGTATTCTGTCATTTGACAAACGTCTTTCTAATCTTTCTAAACGCTCGTCGTAACTAAAATAGGAAAGTAAATCTTAGTACTCTTTGTTGCTTGTTCGCGGTGGGTTTAGAATTTAGTTGCTTAGGATTATCGGTAGTCATAGTATCTCGTTCATACAAGTAATAAATATTCTTGTTAAAGAAAAATAAAAGAATCCTTTTTTTGTTTTTTTTTTTTTTTTTTTTGAGAGAAACTATTGAGTTAAAATATTAAAAATGCCTTTTCAACGCGAACAACTTGAATCGGTGGTTAATGAGAAATTGTGTAAAACCGAAACAATTAAACTGAGGAATAAATATATCGGGTAAGTTCAAAATTTGTAAAAAAAATATTTTAATTTTTATGTGAATTATTTTATTAGTTTTTTTTTTTTTTTTTTTTTTTAATTGATAAACAATATATAATAAAACAATTATTTTATTAAGTTTGCTTTAATATATATATGTATATGTAAAAATTAAAAAAAAAAAAAAAACTATTTAGAAAAAAATAAAAACAAAAGTAATAAAAAAAAATATATATTAATCTTTAGAACTTTTATTGCTACACATGATGACGTCCTTTTCAATGCATTTCTCTTTTCTTTTGACCTTTCTTATTTTCTTTGTCAAGGTCATGTGTATATATGTTCATAAGTATATTTGTTTACGTAGTATAGTTTAGTTTTTAGTGCCTCACGTGTTAGTTAGTGCTTTTTTTCTGCTGGTGATGGTGGTGGTTGTTCTACAATTTAAGTTCATTGGCTCGTTGCTGTTTGTATCTGCGCGTACCGTATAAACATTTCAATCTTTAATAATAATGCATACGATTAAAAGGAATTGTTTTAATGCCTAATAATAAGATAAAAGAGCGTGCGATTTTGCTAAGATGCGTTTCTTGCTTGAAATTTCTTTATTTTTATTTTTTAAATACATTTATGTTATATATATTGTTATGTAATAAGTTGGTTTTAAAACAAATAATAATGATAATGATAACAAATCTTATTACTTTAAATAACATTATCGTGGGATGTTTATACTCCAGGAAACGTGAAACATTCTCTTGATTCATTAATTTATCCTAGTTTTGTATACATGTTTGTTTATTTATTTATTTATTTTTGATATGTGACTACATTAAATAATATTGGAAAAAAAAATTTGATTCTTCATTTGATTTAATTAGTAGATAGTTATTGATATATTTTGTGTCAACATTTTTCTTCTTAACCATTATTACTTTCGATTAGAATCATTTTAGTCAAGTGCGTCCACATCTCTATTAGGCAATGGGTTTCTGAAATTCCTCAAAAATTAAAATAAAATAAACTATCGGTAAATTTATTTCATTTAGACTTGTCGCAGTTTGCGCCTAGGAACACCACCTTTTTATATTTAAAAGCTGAAAAAACATAAGAAAACAAAAAAAATTGAAAAACTTATTTTCAATAAATCCAACCTTGTGGCAGATAACTATTTCAAGTGCAACGCGATCATTTATCATCGCAATTGCTTCGCAAATTCGTTCACAGGATTTTAATAAATTAATAATTTTTCGTTATTTTGTTTTATGTATATGCCCAAGTAATTGCGCTTGCAAGGAATTAAAAGTTTTTCTATTGGGGGATTGATGTGACGATCATGTACGAAATTGGTTACCTAATTTGTAACTTCACAAAAAATATACATACATATATGCCGAGGTCTTTAATAGTTTAGTACTTAAGAGCTTTAGCTTATTTGGAAAAAAAAAATACATATATATATATATATATATATTGGTGTATGGAATACGTGTAGATTGACTTTGCGTATAAAACGAACTAATGATTCTATAGACCTGATTTCTTAATAACTGATTATATTATTCGAGCAATGAAATTAAAAATAAGCTCTTTTTTTACACTGAGATTACACAATAGTGTAATGAGTGTGAAAACTAAAAATAATATCGCGTAAAAGAAATTAATTACCATATTTTTAATTCGTCTTAATGAATGAAGTTAGTTAGTACCCAAGTAAGTTACATTAAATTTAAATTTATTCGTTATCGTTAGATACATATATTATTATTAATTTTATTAATTATTAATAAATTTTATTTAATTTTATTTTATTTTATTACCTATAATTTAGACAAGCTTGTCAATTGTTTTATCGTTCGGATCCTTTAAAAATTGTACGCGGTCAAGGTCAATACATGTATGATGAACAAGGTACACGTTATTTGGATTGCATTAATAATGTAGCGCATGGTGAGTTTGAAATTATAAAATTAAATTTTACATTTAAGCTAAACTATTTCATATTGAAAATGCTATCAAGGAGGAAAGCAAATTATATTCATTTTAAATTTAAAATTTGTTTTTTTGTGCTCCTTTTACGAAACATTTACTAAGGAAAACATTGTCTTAGAGTCGCAATATAATCAGAAAATTGATTGAAAATCATTGAAGATATTTATTTATTTATTTTTTTTTTTGTGAATGCTTGACTCGCTTACAACCAGATACAATTAAAAAATAAATAAAAAAATAAAATATTTATACGCATTTTTTTTTTTTTTTTTTTATTATTTTAATTTTACTGATATGCAATGGCATTCGGCTCTGGTTATTAAAAACAAATACATAAATTAATTTTAGCTGATAAATATCATAAACGAATTTCAAATTTGCGCTAACAATGATCCATTTTATCTATCTTCCGGCTTAGAATCGATTCTCCACAAGAATATCTTGATTACCCTAATTAAATGACTGGAAAAATATCGTGAAAAATTGCAAATTTTGATTTATTTTCATTTACACAACATACTGTAGACATTATCACCTATCATTTGCCTAAATGGCTATTAGTGACTTATCAAAGTAACTGATAAATATTCAAAGTAGGTGACAGCAACGAATTGTTGAACAATGCATAGTGAGGGAATCGAGAGGTTACCTAAATCGTTTCAATAGTAAGGTAAACATGTAATTAAATTCTACCGTTGTTAACACTAACAGTAAATGTATGTTAAATAAATATAATTTCTTAAAAAGTCGTAGACAATCTTAGTAAACATTTACTCATAATTCAAAGGTATTTTTACTAAAAATCAGATTAATTTAATTTCAATTTTTTTATATTTTTTTTATTGTGAATGTAACGCAGTGAAGTGTAGTATTACATATGTTGCTAAGCATATAAACAAATAATAGGGTATAGTATTTTGTTTAATAACAACTGATATAATATCAGATAGGAAAACATATTTGAGACTTATTTTTAAGCATACAATACAAGCAGCACAATTTCATTTATAATGTTACATAGGTCTGTGTGAAGAGATTGTTTAAAATATTCTTGAAAAATGTGAAACTCGAAGTTGTTAAAATGTTAAAAGTGAAACTAAAGTTTCGAATGATATCAAATCCGATTGACCTATTGCCATATAGACAGTTAACAATAATTTTGTTGCAACGACAACTATCGACGTTTTTTGCTGTATTGCATTTGTCTCCTCGAACGAGCGATGATCTAAAAACCAATCATTATGTAATTGACGAAAACTGCCCAAAATGTGATGGACGATTATTGAAAATTTAAACTATGAAAATTTTGATATTACAATCTAATATCAGGTGGGTTGGGTTGAATAGAATTTTCCAAAAAAAAAAAAAAAACTTGAATCTTTATTTTAGGCACGCGTCTTCTAAATTGCGAGTGAAAAACATTACTATTAAAAAAAATCAATTAAACGGATCATCAGTTTAAAGTGACTTTTTAATTTTATTAAGACATAATATAGAAACACAAAAAAAAAAAAAAATATAAATAAATTATATATAACGCAATAATAGGGTAAGACGAAAAAAATACATTCTCTAATTAACTTGTTTTTTTTTTTTTTTTTTCTTGGGGAAATTCAAGTGATAGTTTACTTTAATTAATTAAATGAAAAAAAAAAAAAAAAAAAAAAAAAAAAAAAAAAAACAACAAAAACTTGTAGAGATTTATTTTATGGTAATGCGCCGATAAGATGTTTGTAGTCCTTTGTTCAAATACATACAATCGTGAATAATAATGAGATTTTGTTTTAGTGCCAACTGGTACATAATCCGTTTGGCTTACAGAATTCAGCGGCTATTCAATGCAAAGTTTTGCTTTTTTTTTTGTTCAAGCAATTATCACACGCATATAAAATCTAGTAATAAGTGATTGCATCTCGTGAACTACACGTGATTGTTGTTTATTTGTTTTTAAAATTTCCATATGTTGATGTTTATTTACATTAAGCGACTGATAGCGTTAAAATCAGTAAATCTTCGTAATAAATTCTAATCACGACATAGGAATTGTAAAAAGTTTTGTTGCTGCTTATACGTTGTACCACTTGTGATGGAGGATATATTAAGTTTGTGCGGATGTATGTGTACAATTTAAAAGCACTTAAAATAGACTCATGTTTCATTATATCAAATGATTTCAATGAATCATTTATTTGAGTCAATTTAAACTTGGCGGTCTGTCCTGCTGTCTGGCGGTGTTCAACTTACATGTCGCAAATCTCTGGCCCAAGCACGAAAGCTATTGGGAATGCATTGGATTGGAGTTAAATTGTGGCCGCTCGTCATATTACGCCGTACCCTGAGAGGCCCCTTTCCCACCACTTAAATGCTTCCACGAAAAATATGCCTCTTTATGGAAATATAGAATTGTATTTGACAAAGTGATTTAGCGGTATAGGCTTATTTAAGTGTCGATCTAGTTAAACTATAATGTTTTTATTTGCGTTACCTATGTACATATATACATCAAAATATGTATATAGAAAATGTATTATAATATTAAAGGGACAGATCGCGACAGTTAATACAATTTTAATCATATTTATTTTCAACATGGGTGTGTGCTTCAAAAAATCTTTTTATAGATTTAATGTGTTGCAGACAGGAAGCATTTTGAATATGAAAAGCGAGAAACACAGTTTTAGATGAAGACGCGATTTAAAATTTTAACAATTTTTTTAATCATGCGTTGACATGCCTTTAATAGGAAATTAAAAACCAATATTGGAATCGATCGGTATAATAAAAAGTGAGTCAATTGTAAGCCCTTCTCCGTATTATATACGACCGCACCAACTCAATATACTCACCTTGTACTACAAGTGATATAGGGTACAATTGTACATTAAACGTCTTGAGCTAAATTTTTGATATTCATCATTTCAAACCAATATATATGGATTATGAAACGTATTGCCAGTCGTGGATATGTCCTATGGTCGAAAAGCAATTTTCTTTACTCCGATTCAGATAATGAGTTTAGTCTAACGAGAAAGGCCAACGCAGCTTAGAAGATGTACAATTTTTGGAACTCTTGATGTATTTTTATAGTCATTATATGAACATAGTATGATTATTATTATATATAGTATATATATATATAGTATATATATATTTCGAAGGTGGATATAAAAATATGTTCGAAAACAGAAATACCGTTTTTAGGTTGCGTAATTATCCAGCAGTTTCTAAAACATATTGAAAAAAAGCAAAAAAACCCTATAGTAGGGTAGGTAGCCCACACTCCACTCCAGGCTCCACACCACCTTCTTTCTGAATCGATTTGGCTTTGTCCGTCCTTCTGTCGTTTTTTGCTTAGTCTCAAAGGTTGCAATTCTATGAGATATTTTGATGACATTTGGTATATTGATACGTTTTTGCCCAAGGACGAACTCTATTGAAAATAGTTTGGATCGGACCATTTTCTCGACCACTCCCCATATAATATTTTATTTTGAAAATTCGTTATATGCAACAAAAAATATTCCGGTTTTCAAAATTTCGTGACAAAAATCGCTGACTAATAATATATAAGTATACTAAATTGGTGTCCGAAATTTGTATCGGATGAGGTAATGTTTTCAACCCTCTACCATATAAACATCCCTATGAAAATGAATTTTTAAAAAATCAAAAGGCCGAAATTCCAACACTTCATGATGCATATTGGTTTTTATATGTATAATATAAGTTGACGTTTAGCCACCCACAGCTCACGCTTAGAGTATCCTCCAATATGAGGGCTTTCATGACAGCTAAGTCTTTACATAAAAATAATGTGAAATTGTTAGTATGTTATCGAGAAACAGAAATAGATGACTGTATTTAGACGAAGTGGTATAGTATACCTAATGGTCCGCTTTAACCGATTACAATGGTCTTATTCCTTCGTGGAATCGAAACTTCAAATCTTCAGCTTTTTAACGGATTTTCGTTTAGCATCCCATTCTCTAGATATCATTTTTAATAACGTGGTTTTTCCGTCATGCAACGACAATCGATTGAAATGCGTATTAGAATGAAAAACTTCACGTACACCTGCACACCATGGCATGGTTGACAGGACTTTTCATCATACTATGCTTGTCGGGACCCGAAGATTTCAACACATCTAAATTTGCCGTGCTTGTATGCGCATTACGATGAAAGTATCTATTATAGTATACCATATGCCAAGTTTCAGACTTGTACTCCAATATATTTGATTTAGTAAATTGTAATAATGTATGGATTAACCTCTCCGCAAATTTTTAGGGCATATGGAACGAAGAAGATTTTATTGAAATCATATAAATTGCATAATTCGGATGATCATAAGTAATATGCATGGAATTATTTCATTTATAAATTTTTTGATTTTTTTTTCTTATATACTGTCGAACACGATTTAATTATTTTTACTTTGAAAATTTGAGATTCAATTAAATAAAAATGTTGATCGAAGTAGACCGAATATTGATTTTGTCATTTAGAGCGAAAAAATTTATTCGAAAAATATTTGAAAAATTCATTTTGAGAGAAGACATCGTGAAGAAAACACCATTAAAAGTCAAAATGATGCGCGACACTGCTGCAAATCAATTGCATGATTTTAAAAATAATGCTTTAAAAAAAACTGAATCGATTACTACATCTTCTGGTAATCCGGTTGGCATTCAAGATGCATCAATGACTGTTGGACCGAGGGGCCCGATACTTTTACAGGATACACATTTTTTGAATAAATTGCAAACTTTTCATACTGAACGCATACCTGAGCGCGTGGCATATGCCAAAGGTTGTGGAGGATTTGGCTACTTTGAGGTAACCCATGATATCTCTAAGTATTGTGCTGCTAGTTTGTTTTCAGAGGTAAAGAGGCGTACACCGATAGCTGTACGTTTTTCGACATTCAGCGGCGAGAGCGGCTCGAACGAAACCGTTCGTGATTCCAAAGGATTTGCTGTCAAATTTTATACCGAAGATGGCATTTTTGACATAGTAGGACAAAATTGTCCGGTATTTTCTATTCGTGATCCCCTTCTGTTTCCCAGTCTAGTTCACGTAGTGAAGCGTAATCCACAAACTCATCTACGAGATGCGGACATGTATTGGGATTTTATGTCGCAATGCCCCGAAACAATTCACTATATGTGTATGATCTTCGGCGACCGCGGCATACCGGATGGTTATCGCCATATGAATGGATATAGTGTGCATGCTTATAAGTTGGTGAACGATAAAACTGAAGGAGTCTTTGCGAAATTTCACTTTCGTACTGATCAGGGCGTACAAAATCTGGACGATGAACGTGCATTGTGTCTTGCTTGTCGAGATCCGGATTACTGTACTCGTGATTTATTCAATTCGATTAGAAATGGGAACTATCCTAGCTGGACTTTGTATGTACAATTGTTGACTCAGCAGCAGGCTAAGAATCTTAATTTTGATGCTTTTGATCCTACCAAAATATGGCCTTACACGGAGGCTCCTCTAATACCTGTCGGTAAAATTATACTTGACCGTAACCCCGCAAACTACTTTGCTGAAATCGAACAGATGGCGTTTAGCCCTGCTAATATGGTACCCGGTATCGAGGCGTCGCCAGATAAAATATTGCAGGGTCGATTATTTGCTTACGGCGATTCTCAACGCTATCGTTTGGGTACTAATTATTTACAGATACCGGTTAATTGCCCCTTCCGTGTACCCGTTAAAAATTTTCAACGCGACGGGCAAATGACTGTTACTGATAATCAGGGTGGAGCACCGAATTACTATCCAAATACATATTCCGGTCCAGAACCTTGTTTACGTGCACGCACGTTAAGCACTTGTTGCCCAATCTCTGGTGATATTTATCGCCATAGCGCTTCTGCTGCCGAGGATAATTTTAGTCAAGCTACTGATTTCTGGGTTCTCGTATTGGATGATTGTGCACGTAAACGTCTCGTTCAGAGTTTGGCAACTAATCTATCTAAAGCTAGTCAGGTTGTCCAAGAGCGTGTTGCTCGTCTTTTTACTATGGTTCATGCCGATTTCGGCCGCTTATTAACCGAAGCTCTAAATACAGAGAATTTCGAGTATTGTTGAAATAAATCCCCGAGTCCATAATGGTTTGAATGATTGTTTATGCTGATCTTACTTCTTGTTGCTGTGGCTGTTGTTGATTTTTGACAATATTTTTAAATATGATTTCATCTTATTCAAATTATCCAAATATTATATATCAATTCATTTCACATAATCCCTATATTATATAATTAATTTATTAACGATACATTTTTAATAAATATTTTTCCTTTGTTTTTCATTTAATTTCTGGTTTCTTTTGAGGGGGAAATGTTTATAATAGTGAGGTTAGCTCGACATCGTTTATATCGCTTTTCAAGCAATGTGTCGCTCATGGATGCAATGTTAACAATATTACGCAATTCCATGGTACACACTCATATATATATTACGTTCGAAAAATTCATAAATACTAACTAGCATGAAAGCAGCTACCATTAGAGATTTGATTATCACTTATAACCCAATTTTATGAAAGTTTCTTTCGAATACATTAATCCGATTGCTCTTTTTTTGTGCTTTGCGTTAAAATATATTGTGCGCCAATCCATACTTATTTACTTATTATATATTTAACGCATACATACGAATTTTATAAATACGGTGCCTGAAAAGCATTGAAGTGCATGAATGTCCAGATGTTTACATAAACAGAATGTAAACATATATTTGAGGTTACGTTATCACGAGTACATTTCCACACGAGACATGAGTTGTTCACATGCTTCCCTCTCATACTGATAGTTAATGAGTGCACAAAGTATTTTCAATTGTAGCACGCGATTTTATTGACAATGTTCTACCTATATATACGTAAGCGAATGAACATGAGTAGTAGGGGTAAAGCATATAATATATATAGATATTTATGAATGCACATTGATGTCGGAGTCAATGTTATCAATAGCTAACAACAGTGAAAAAAAGACAAACAAGCAAACAATTTTCATTAAACACGTGCTGTAGAAACATGCGTTATGTACCCTAGGGCAACAGACAATTATACACAAATAGAGAAAACATTTCTGTTATCTGTTATGGAAAGTTTTTGAGCTGTATTCTCCACCCATCATACGGGGCATATTAAGTTTGTGAGAACATTGTAATGAATCGTAATATGAAACTGAGCCTTTATTCCATGCATTCCTAACAGAACAGAATTTCTAAGTTTTTCCTTTCTTTTTTTGTACCCATCACCCAAGTATAAGACATATGTTAATTTTGTCAGAACATTTGCACCGCTCAGAAGGCAGTTTCAGAGATCCCACAAAGTACATATATTCGTGATCAGTAGTAGTAAATTCCGATTTGATTTAAGCATGTCCGTCTGACCGCCTATGTAATGTATGTTGTAAATATTCTCCTGATCGCAAACGAGAAGCTATCGATTTTAAATGTGTTAGAAACATTGGAAGTTCTGTGTAGGGCGATACGCCTACAGTAAGCCGTAAAAATCGAGACCACCTCTCGAATACAAAATTAATTTTTGCTCATTACTTGTAAATTACAGCAGAAAAATGTACGAAAATTTAAGAGCATATTGTATGGCTGATGCTCCAATACTTGCACAAAAATGGGAAATATTGGTCACGCCAAAGCAATTATTATTTCGTTGTAAGGCGCAGAAGCAAGCGTCAAAAACCCCCTAAAGCGAATAAGTTTTTGGCAATCCTTTTGTCCGTCCATCAATCAAAGTATGAAAATTCAGTTCTATTCCTTTTTCTTTAAGTCTTTTTCAGAATAATAGTGGGTGGGTATAAAACATACGCTTACGACTGAAAGACGGGAAGCATCCTAGCATATTCTAGATTCTTGTGCGCCATCTGGATTTTCACTGTGGAAAGGGCATCTTTAACTAGGTACTACCCTTATTAAAAGATAACCTTACATTTACTTTATAATTTCAATTAAAAAATTTATTCATCGCCACAAGGCACTTATTACAATATAAATTTATTCGAAAGCTTTTTAAGAGTGCAAAAGGTTGTCGAACATCAGCTCGCCCTCTATAAACTAAAGATTCGAACTGAATGTGAATATAAAAATTTTTTATTTTAGCATTTTTCACAGCTTTTAACTAAACTATTCGGTAGGATCGTCCGATGTCAGTAAAAATATGAAAATTATTCTTGGAGTTATTTGTGTTACGTTATCATATGTGCTCTGAGAGTATATTGTATTAAATCTACTTAAATATATATATATATATATGTACACATATACACACATAAACTTTATTTTTGAAATTCAATGATCGAACAATTTTTTGGAAGAAATATTACAATATTTATTCTCTGTTGGTAGATCAGTTTTATTTGGAAATTTGTTATTATTATGTCTTCGTTAAGGTTATGTTACGGACACATATTAACAACGTTCGATTATCATTTTTCTTGTAGTTGGACATTGCCACCCGAAAGTGGTTACGGCTGGATCATTACAAATGGCAACAATTTCAACTAATAATCGTTTCTTGCACGATGAGTTAGTACAATGCGCCAAAACGTTGACCAGCAAATTACCGACACCGTTATCAGTATGTTTCTTCGTCAATTCTGGTTCGGAAGCTAATGATTTAGCTTTGCGTTTAGCTCGTAATTATACTAAACGCCAAGATGTGATTACTTTGGATCAGTAAGTAAATAAAACTTTTATTTTTCTATTTTTGACTTAGAAGCAATTTTTCTTTGTTCATTGATTGCAGCGCTTATCATGGTCATTTAACTTCTGTTATGGAAATATCACCGTACAAATTTAATCAACCTGGCGGTGATCCTAAGCCAGATTACGTGCATGTGGCACCTTGTCCCGATGTCTATGGCGGTTTATATAAAGATAAGGATTATCAATGTTCAGATATGGCTGAGATTTACAGTACACCAATTAGGGATTTGTGTGAACGTTTAAAATTGCAAAGCAAAGGTGTCGCTGCTTTCATAGCCGAATCTTTGCAAAGTTGTGGCGGACAAATAATACCACCTACCGGCTATTTCAAGAAAGTGTTTGAAGCTGTACGCTCCGCGGGTGGTCTGTGCATAATGGATGAAGTTCAGGTGGGTTTTGGCCGTGTGGGTAGCCATTACTGGGGATTTCAATTGCAAGATGTAGTACCTGATATTGTAACTGTCGCCAAGCCTATGGGTAATGGTCATCCCGTTGGCGCTGTAGTAACTACAACCGAAATAGCTAACGCTTTTTATAATACCGGTGTATCATATTTTAATACATATGGCGGCAATCCAGTATCATGTGCAATTGCTAATGCGGTGATGCGAGTTATTGATGAAGAATGCTTGCAGGAGAATGCTCGCTTGGTCGGCGATTATTTGCTTAAGCAATGTCGCGACCTTAAATATGAATTTGATGTTTTAGGTGATGTGCGTGGCGTGGGTCTCTTCATTGGCATAGAATTGGTGAAGCAACGTGACTCAAGGGATCCTGCCACGAAATATGCGCACTGGATAGTAAATCGTATGAAGGAAATGCACAAAATTCTGGTATCTTCAGATGGCCCCAATGATAATGTTATTAAACTGAAGCCGCCGATGTGTTTCAGTCAAGAGAATGCTGATGAGTTTATATTAGCTTTCCGGGAATGTCTTTCTCTGCTATCAAAACAACGTGAAGGTGATACTCTACCTTCTAGCAATGCAGCTGCAATTACAACTACAACTAGCAGCTCAATGGAATTGTTATCAAATAAAAAGCAAATATTCGAACGTCGGGATCATCTAATTAAATCTGTTTAAGCTGTTTTTTGTGTTTTTTATTTTTTATTTTTTATTTTTTATTTTATTTTATGCATATTTATAAATTTTTAATCATAAACCTTTCATCTCGTTCTTAGTTCTAGCATCTAGAATTTATTAATTATTTTGTATTTAGATTAGTGTTAAGTGTTTTGTTTCGTTTTTCAATAACATTAAGTTAATGCGACGAGCGATTTGTAAATATATTAAAATCCATGCTAAAGTAACGCGCACATTGAACAATTAAAAATATTGAAATTAAATTCGTGATTTGCTCAGTGTATCTGATTTTGAAAATCATATATTTATCCAATTAGAAAGTACTGAACCAGCCACCACCATAAATGGTAATTTATATTTAATAATTTTACAACAATTAAAACAAAGAACAACATTGCAACATAATGGGAATATAATGTAGTGTGAATTTTCGTATTTAGGATATAAGTTGGGCACTTGGTTCATCCCCCCCGTATTCATCTATATTGATATCTTCGATCACAATTTTTGGTATAAGCGTTGGCTTTGACACGATTGCGTCTCGTATTTCACAGGATACAGGCTAAGTAATCACAAAACTTATCTAAAAATCTCCTTAATACATAAATTAAAAATATTCATTTTATACCTTAACGGCTTCCAATTGAATTTGTCGGTCTTCGCCGGCAATTGGATTGGCAAGGATTGTCTGCTTTCGCCAGTCAACGTGTATATCTTCACATTTCTTATCCAATGTTTCAGATATGGTCGCGCAGCAATTCTTATTCACCTTTTCGGTTAAATTGTTATTTAATTTCTCACGATTTGAAAAATACACACTCAAAGGATTGTGAAAATGCAGGTTACCTATAACATTACTCGATTCCTTATTTCTATATCGGCAGTATAAACATCCTATTCCGATAAATAAAATAATTATTCCAAGAATGCTTATGGACGCCGCGATACCATTTGATTCGACATTTGTCGTCGGCGCTACTTCCAATAAGCTCCCGGACGTTACATGATTAAATGAATCGCATTTTTTTGTTTCACTGACAATGGAATCATCGCACATGCACACATAATTGTGCTCAGATTGAACGCACATACCACGGCATTCCGCTATAGTGCAAGGATTACGTTTCATTGGTTGTCGTGAGATGCCGTCTATTAAAATGTTCGCAGCATTTAATACATTTAAATCGAAAGTCCTGCAGTGGTGGTGAACGCCAAATAGTTGGCAACGAACTGCCTCCTTCGATCCTAAATTAACAATAAAAGCTTCATTTTCGTACCAACTCATACCAGAAGGTCTTGTAATTGCTGTTGTTTTCTCCATAATAGTAATGGGTTTACTGGAGAGTTTTGTTACCGCATAGCTTATAAATTGCAAGCTTCTCTGATGACGATCTATTAAGTATAGGATTCGTTTATAAGGATCACAAGCCAAAGCAGTAATAAAGCCATTTTCTTTGGTTAGTATATAATGCCGTTTAGCTCCATCTAAATTGCTTGTGGCTATGCGTGACTTATGCTCGCCAGAGCCTTGGCTTTCCAAGACAGCAAAAAATAGCTTCTTATTATAAGCGTCAACTGTAAGAGCTTTAATTATTTGATTCGGCATTGATTTGACAACTGTTCCGCACATTTTACTTTTAAAGGAACAGACTTTAATTTCATATACCTGATAAACGCTGATCACATAAACATTATCTATTCGATATCAAAAAGTTCCACATATATTACTTATAATGACCAATGTGATATTATAGAATATGATACCATACTAACCTGTAATCCAATCTACAGCTACCTTACTGGGCTGGTTTACTAGCAAACCCATAATAATTTTTCCATTGGTTACATTCACTTGGTAGAGGATATGTTCAGAGTCTGTACTGAAGTAACCATTACGGGTTCTGCTGTTTACATCAAAACTTTTAATTTTTGAATCATTTGCACTCCAGACGATCTTTAACGTAATTGGCATTTCCGTCCTGCTGCGCACTTCATTATAGGTGGCGAATAAAATACTGTTTTCCCTTTCGATCGATTTGCATGTGGTTTTATCTGTGCTCAACATAAATTCAGGGTAACAAGAACAGCGATATGAACCACTGATATTTTCGCAAATTTGACCACAAGGAACCATTTCTTCACATTCATTAATATCAGTACAGGAGCGCTGATCAGCTTCCAGCCTGTAACCTTTGTAGCAAGAGCATACCGCACCAATCGGCGTAGGGTTGCATTTATTTTCACACACTAATCCCTTACCATTCTTAAGTGAAAGACAGGCCGTATTACATAAAGGACCTTCATCCGCTCCCGTTTCGCAATCTTGAATACCATCGCATACTCGCATTAGATCCACGCAGAATCCATTTTTACAATTATACATGTTAGGGCCACACATATGTTCATGCGAAAATTGGTTGCTTTTGTCGTGAATGCAATTTTCTTCATCCGAACCATCTTCACAGTCCCGATCACTATCACATACAAATTCTCTTCGTATGCACTTTTGGCTCGATTTACATTGAAATTCATATAAGTTGCAGGTGTCATCGCAATTTAGTTCATCTTCTCCTCTTGGACACTCAGCGATGTTATTGCATTTGGCCGAAAGTTCCAAACACATGGTTTTATTACTAGGACATACAAATTTATCGAAACACGAGTCTTCATTTCCTTCAGTTTTGCAATTCATTTCGTCCGATTCATCACTGCAATCGCTGTTACCATCGCAAACTAAACGCTTATCAATGCATTGACCCAAAAAACATTTGTGCATTTCAGGGGGACAGTCGCGCACGGCTTTAAATAATGAAAACATATAATAATAACGATAAGTTATTACAATTTTGTTACAGATTTTGCGAGCCTACCACATTTTTCGTGTTCATCGGAGGCATCGGCACAATCAATTTTACCGTCACACTCCCAACTTTTGCCGATACAAGTGCCGCTGGTGCATTGAAACATATTTTTATTGCAATCAGGCTTTGAAACAAGCGTAGAACCCGTTAGTGTACAGCGAATTTCATCAGAATTATCACCGCAATCGTTAAAACCATCACATAAAACGCTAAAATCTACACAGTGGCCGTTATTGCACTTGTGCTGATGGAAATGACAGTAGTGTGATTTATCTAAAATATCGAAAATAATTTCAAAGTGAAAAAATAACGGATTTAAAACTGCAAAGGCAAACTAACCAAATTTATCGCAATGCTCCTCGTCTGACCCGTCGTAACAATGTTTAATGTGATCGCAACGTTTCTTCGCTTCTATACATTGTTCACCAGTATGACAGCGGAACTCTTCCATCGTGCACAATATTTTCGTGTGGTTTTTCTTTTTTTCATTGCAGAGCGTTTCGTCGGAACCGTCTGGGCAGTGTGCACGCCCGTCGCATATTTGCGTTTCCATTAGACATTCTCCGGAAGTACAACGAAATTCGCAATTCACAGATTCAATGCAGGTGCGATTGTTAGCGTTCAGAAATACCATGCCGGCAGGACATAAGCAACTTCCCTTACTTTTTGTAAAGGTTACGCACACATGCGAACAACCATCGTTCCAATGTTGGCACGGATGATCAACAACACTGGGCGCTTGCCTTCCGAGAACGAGCATATTAGGAGATAGCGCGCGTGTACTAGGCATAAAGTCGTTAATATTAATGTCGAAATGTTTCAGGTATGCCATATTGCCTTTATGAGTCCAGTATATAGTGTTCGAACCAAGTTCGGACCAGATTAAATCACTACCGACTATACTTATAGAATATGGGCGATGTAAATGTTTTCGAAACGACAACACATCGATCTGCCTATAATTAGTAAAAAAAATTTCACCTCTATTACTTTCTGCCCAGTAAAGCGTATGTGTTGCCATGTCGGCTACAAATTTTATTTCTTCAGCGTTTATGTCTCTTTCGAACACATGCGTAGACTGACGATGATTACTCAGTGATCTTGCGATGATATGATTCTTAAGAGCTACGAACATTACGCTGAATTAAAAGAAAATTTAGCTAAAGCGTGTCTTTTTTGAATCTAACTAACGCTCACTTACCCGTTTTCTGGTACGATGACAAAACCGATAGGCACTTCTAGGCCTGCGTAAAAAGAAACAACAGCTCTGTAACCGGTTTGCAAAGATATTACTTCAATTACATGTCTCTCGGCATCCGACCAATATAAATTATGAGCAAAATGATCTAACATTTAATAAAAATGTAATAGAATAAACACTTCCCCGATTAAATAGAAGTTCAGCTTACCAAATGCTAAATCGGTAACATTTCCCAAATTCTTCTTGACCCATATTTTCATCGCGTGTACTTTCATATCATATTCACTGATCACATGCTGCAGATTATCAGCTATAAAAATTGTATTATTTACGGTATTATACGCTATTTGATGTATAAAGAAATGAATATTATATGTTGCTGTTATATTATGACCTCCAAATTTTGTGTGCTCTACTTCTAAGAGATGAGAACCGACGCCTATATAGAAACGATCGTTTTTCATATACTTTTTACAAAGCTTACGATCGTCGGCTAATTGCATGCCATCTGGGCAAGCACAAGATGATCTGTTATTTTCCGCTAAAAGGCAGAGATGTGAACACGAATTGTGTTCACAGGCATGCGAAGTTTTCACTTGTTTGGATGGATGATGTATGTAAACAGAATATATAGTGCGATCTTTAACTAAAATCCTATGATCTTTGCCCGTGAATTTGTTGCATAAATGTATACTCCTAGTAATCCAGTCTGACCAATAGAGACGATCTTCGTAGATCGCCAGACCGTATGGATGTTTCGGAATATCTTCCAAAATAGTACGGCGATCGGTGCCATCTGTTCGTATACAGTCAATGGTGGCAAATTTTGCATCAACCCAGTATACGCGATCGTTATGCATATCGAGGGTTACGCCATTTGGCCAGTAAATGCTCTGATTAACTAAAGGCATGATATTACTACCATCCATAGAAGCACGCATTATACTGGGTCTGTAACCCCAATCCGACCAGAACATTTGACCTTTTTGCGGCCAAACGGCTAACGCACGAGGTTGATGTACCTCTTTAGTTACTAAAGCGGTGCAAAAATGTCCATCTTGCGAGCAGACAGCTATATGATGTTTGAAATTATCGGAAAAGTATATATTTCCTAGAAAATGAAAAAGTCGTAGGGCATTCTTAATAAGATGTTAAAATAATTGAAATTTCCAAACTAACCAGTTAACCAGTCAATTGCTAGATCTTCGGGTGCTTCCAAACCTGAAGTAAGTAAAACCACTTGTTCTGAACCATTCGCGTTAGCTTTCACTATGCTTTCGTCTCCAGTATGAATATTGGTCCAATACACGTACTTTCCGTCGTAAGTAACTCCTATTACTTTAGTAAGATTCGTAGCTATTGTATATAAACGTCGAGAGTGCAAATTTATGCCCATCACTGCCACCTGTGTAGTATAAATAAGTATAGGTTTTTCCTCCATCCGAGCTTTACAAGTAAATTTGTCTGCCTGTAGTAAGTAACCATTATCGCAAAAACATTCAAATTTTCCCGGAAAATTTCGACATTTTTGACTGCATATACCAAATGTCTCTTCGCATTCATTAATATCAACGCATACTGACTGAGCTGACGTAGAGTAACGAAATCCTTGAGGACATACGCACTTAACACCGTACTGTGGTAGCATATGGCATTTAGAAGCTGGTGGACATGACGAATTGCTGCAATTTTTTGCTGCTAGGCATTGTGATGATTCGTCTGATCCATCGGGGCAATCGCTTAAACCATTACACGCCTTTTGCAAGGGCAAACAAGTAACATTGTCACTGCATAGGAATGTCCCTGCTTCAGGCAAGCAACTTTGGGCTTCAAATATAGTTCAAAATTTAACATTGTTTGGCGAAATTCTTCACTTTTGTTTTTTAACTTCTTTACCTTTACTGCAATTTCTTTCGTCGCTACCATCTCCACAATCATCAACGCCATCGCATATCCATTTTGAGCTTTCTAAGCAATGTTTATTATCGCAAAAGTATGTTTGGCATTGATTTTGAGATTCCAAGCAGCCTAAGGATTCGTCGGAATTGTCAAAACAATCCGATTTACCATCGCACATAAAGCTTGACGGAATACAGGATTTGTCTGTTTTACAGGTAAACTCAGATTGTGTGCAATTGCGTTGCATAGAATGCCCATAACCAATATGAAATTCGCTAGTGCTGGCATTGCTCGAGTGAGAGGAACAATTCAATTCATCTTCACCTTTAGGACAATTTTCATAGCCATTACATAATAGTTCGGCCGACACACAAAGGCCATGAGCATCAGAACATTGATACCAATGTGGAGATTTGCAACTTTTTATACCTTCATTCGGGATGATTATTAAAAAAAAAAAATAAAATTATTTGTGAGGTTATGTTTTACATTTTTGTTTTTTTTTTTTTTTTTTTTTTTTTTTTTTGAACTCAAATACCACAATCTACTTCATCCGAGCCATCCGAACAGTCCATTATACCATTGCATATACTAGCTCCTAATACACAATTGCCATTTTTGCACTGAAACCGATGCGGCTCACAGTGATTAACACTTTCGGTTTTCCCAAAAAATAATGGCGTTAGAATTAATGGAAATATGTGTAGAAAAATGTGGAAAGAGTGCCTCCATTTTGCTTTCTTATTCATAAGATTGAACGGTAAACTAACATTAGACCTATAAACGCAATAAAAATAATGTTTAAAAAGAGTTTTTTTTTTTTTGCTTTTATGAAAACCTTTGATTTGATTTTTAATATATTTTTTAGAAAATAAATTATATATAATTATATATGTAAGCACTTACATAGTTATTAAATTATATATAATTTACACACAAGTTTTATATACCAAATGACAAAATTGATATCTGTACAATTGTTTGAAACGGCAAAGCTATTAATATTGATGCTGGTTGTGATACTGTTTCTGATTTTTTGACTCTTATGAGAAATTAATCAAATTATGAAAGTTTCTCCTAACTGTTATTCTAACATAAATGCAAGTGAAAAGTTTATACACTCGCTTCAATTTCTATACCCTACACCACGTCTGGTACGAGACTATATTGACTTTGTGCAGTTATGTATAAGACATAGAAGAAGAAGAAGAAGAAGTCACTTTCTGAATTGATTTAATCTTGTCTGCCCCTCTTATTTTCTAGAGTTTAACCTACAGGTCGCAATTTTTGGAGATATTCTGATAAAATTTAGTACACGAATATGTTTTGGCTCAACGACGAAATCTATTTAAGTTGTTTTAGATTCAATTTATTGAGCGCTTCCCATATTACGCCTCATTTTGGAAAGTCATTATATAGAATAACTAACTGTACGGTGGAATATTTGATTTTGATAATATTTTGATAATAAATTGATGATGACCTGTGGATCCATTATATCGTTTGTACTTGTTTCTTATGTTCGCGAAGGCTGGGGTACCTAGAAATGCATCTGAAATAATTTCATCAGAATGGATTGCAATCAAACACTTGCAACGCTTACTTCACAAATCGGCGAAAGTTTTTATGAAATTTTATTTATATATATTTTTGTTGTGTATAAAATATGCATAATATACATATATCTTTAAAAAAATAAAACAATAAATCTTCTCCTACCTACACTTACCGTAAAATAATGTCAACGACTATCTTGCATTTTATTGCGTTTCTCTCTCTTTTAGATGAACACAAAAAAAAAAAAAAAAAAAAGGAACCGTAAGCTAGCTGTTTATACTTAGAGGCGAATCTTGATACCTAATTTAAATAACTTTTGTTTATATTAAATCCTTAGATCATCTCATTATTTATTATACTTCGGCGATATCCGATATTTAGATAATTGGTTGTTATACTCCGCACCACCAATGGTGCTTTTTTTTAAGTGAAATCGATAGTAATGACATAGACACATTGGTCAAATGCAAATGAACATTCCGATGCCCTTTTTATAGAATGAATTGTCAAGATCATCTAAATACGATTTAGTTGGTGTGTGGTACTATCGGCATACAATCTTCGAGCATGGGGGTAGGGCGAGAATCTATCGTTACCTGTGAGTTCAAACCTTAAATGTACGATTTTTTGTTTTGAATTTTAAAAAAACTTTTCTTATAGAAATGTATTCGTAATTTACGTAAAAAATATTTTAAAAAATGCATGTATATGTATATATACATTGTAGGATGTTTGATAGAACGGGACAAATTAATTCATATATATATATTCAATCGTTTAAGTATCAGGCGAATTCAAAGATAAACAGACTATTACTCCAATTTCATAATTAATATTTCAAAGCAGATACAGGAGGTTTAAATATTTCGCACTCTCTATTCAATTGAAGATTACAATAATTAAATTTACAAAATTTACAAATTTCGTGATAATTTTTGCTGGAAATATTTTGTGTTTATAGGCGCATTATATGTATTTTTATTGTTCTAGAATTTATTGTGGATATTAACAGCGAAAAACTAATAATCGTGCAAATTGAAACGAAAGCACGTCTGGCGAGCACTTAGAGGGAATTAAGAATTCGAATAACTTTAAACAACAAGAAATAAATATATGTAGTGTAACAGTAAAAGTAATACAATTAGGAATATTTTTAAAACAGAAGCGCATTCGTACATTGCGTATATTTAGTATGCTCTGCAATCTATCAAATCATCCAGGCTGTATTGTGTGAGGAGCCTCATCTTTTTTAAGTTATATGGTGCGTTCCGTAAAATGTATTGTAGACTTATGCAAGCATTTTAACTTCTTTAGTATAAAAATGATATAAAATAATTACAGTGAAAATAATTATAAAATAATTACAATGAATAAATTAAAAATTATCGGGTCGTAATCAGACTTCATTTCGTGCACTGACGGACACACCTTACTTTCTAAAGTGGTCCGTAATCTTTTAAAAAACTTTGCTAGACTATTATGTTTTAATTTCCCTGACAAAATAAAAATTGCCTTGACGTATGAAATGATATCCTCTATAAAAGTTCTCCCGGACGCTTTTGTCATTATAAAACAATCAAGTTTTTCCTGATGCTTTCATCACTTACTACGAGTTACTTCAACCGTTACCTTTTCTCTGATGTTTCTGATTTCCTTACACCTATCATTTGGTTCGTTTGAAACGATTCTTAATGAGCTGACGCGCCATGAGACGCCATGTTCGTTTTCGGGATAAAATCTCACACAATGAACGGCCGCACTACCATATTGTTTTATAGTGACTATTAAGCAAAAATATATGATTTTAGAATCAAAGAGAAAGAACTCGACGTAAGCAGCAACAACAAGTTTGTAAAAAAATAATTTTATTAACCTTTATAATGTGCTTAAATTTTATAACACCATCGGACACCTTTTTGTATATTAGTTGATTCATACTTTGGAAATTGCCATTTGTGACTCTCGAATAGAACAATTTCAACTTTACTGCCTGTTTTTCATTTCTTAAACATAGACCAAAATTGCCAATCACATTATATAAAAGAAAATGTATAGTATGAGCATTTAATTTTAAGCTCAAAGTTTTCAAAAACAATATATAGTATGCATGTTTGTAATAATTGAACACATACAAAACTGGAATATGATAATATATTTTTCTGATCATGCCATATTAAAATTTCCGCTATACTTCTATTCTACCAGCAAACCCCTATTAAAAAATACGCGAACTATACTTATTTAATTTTACATGTTAGCCTAAAATTAGACCGCCATAATTTTTATTATCAAATTGAACAAAGCCATCGCTACATTCTCTGTTAAAAGACAAAGCACAGAGTCGCTTATAATAAATAAATGGTTGAATGCCCAACTAACAACTTAAATGGTAACGCCATTCAACTATGTTAAATGTCCAACTTAACAGAAAACAAAGATTCAATTCCGTTAAAATGCAAAATATCGTAAGAGGTTAAGTGTAAATAAATTACGCCTTAAAATATGCAAGTAATTTTTTTCTCCAAGTTATGAAATTCAAAAATTTCATGCTACTGTGTCGTGGATCAGAAGCGACAAGGCCGATTTTCTGAAGCACCCTACATTATACGGGCTTTATTCTGCTCTTAAAGTAAAAAAACTTCCATATACAAAATATTTTATTTTACAAACATAAAATAAATTTGATAAGAAACTTATGAACAGTTTAAGACAATCGACTAAATATTTAAATGCGACATTTCGAATAATTGCGTTTTAAAATTATTTTCACACGTACTAAAATTCATCACCTCATCAGAATTAAACGAAGTAAATATTTCTTTTCACCTACAAAAATTTTTTTAATAAAAATTGTTCATGTCATTGTCTTATAGTAGATTTGAAGCTTTCACATTTGAAAGAAGCTTTTCGTAGCTCGCTTCGCTTATCCACGAATAAATTCGTTCGTAAGTTTGTTCAAATTTTATCGAAATTGAATGTGTTGCATATGCTTGATGAAACCTAATGCATAGATAACTACGATTACATCCACATTTGGTTTCTGTCTCTCAAAAGTACGATAATGAAATTGACAAAAATCGAAAATTACAACCGAGAAAAGATTATTGTATACGCTAATATTATGCATGGGCTTGATGACGATTAACAAACTTATGTATTTTTGCTTTTTTTTTGAAAAACATTATCTATAATAAGATGGAACATTTCGATAGCAAATTTTAGGAAACAAAATTATTATTCGGTACCCAAAACATTATATATATATATATAAGATAGGATATTTCGCTAGCAAAATTTGTGCAACAAACTTATTAAGCACTAGCCCAAGGTATCCAAAACAAATAAACGATATTAAAGATCGTAAGAGCTAGAGAGAGAGTAGCTTTGCATTTAACAGAATCGATTACCTTTCGTCTGTTATTTAACAGAATCGATTAAGTTTGATCTGTTAAGTTGGGCCTTTAACATTAGCTGCTTGGCGTTAACATTTTTGTTAAGTTAGGGCATTTAACCATTTATTTATTATAAGCGACTCTATGCTTTGCCTTTCAACAGGGAATTTAACCGTTTATTTATGGCGCCTATCTCAAGGTGGAAAACCGTGCTTATATGCTCAATGTGTCTTTCTCCGTTATAAAATTAATTTAATGTACAAAGCAGTTGTAGGAATTGAATAATTGCGAAAAAAATGAAAGAAAAGAAACTCAAAAATATTAATCGAGTGAAAAATTGAGAAAAATTAAAAATATTTCAAATAAAAAGAGCGTTTGTATATGAAATCATTATCTTAGATCTATTTTCATCATAAAACTCCATAACACTATATATGGCAGGGAATTGAAAAAATCGTCCAATCAAAATAATAATGTTTAATAACGTTTAACTCTTGTTAACATGACACACTTGCGACTATTCAAAATCATTTCGAAATACTTGAAAATGGCTTGAACGTTACTTGAACTCAAATGGCTATCAAGTTACTCAGCGGTCAACCTATCTGCTTTCCTGGCTATAATGCACACCAATTTCGAAATAATACGATTAGGAAATTCTCTACGATGGAGGCCTATTGAAAACGTCGTAGTATAGCTATATAAAGTTTGCCGGCTACTCATCTGTCTAAGTAGCTGTCTAATGTCAGCGCATGTAAATCGTGTTCAAGCGACAGATCATAATTTTTGATATGTCTTTACCTTGAAAAATAATCATTTCGTCACGACAAAAAAAAGAAAAAGATAGAGGACATGATATAGATCTAATTTTGTTATACCACTGCACTCCAAGTCCACACTTTCTGAATCGGTTAGGGATCATTTGTCTGTCCGCTAGTCGGAAATGGGGTTATGCATTTCTATGATCTACCTATAGTTCACACTTTTTGATACGCTGACACATTTTTGGCCAACGATCAGCGCTATTGAAAATGCTTTTGTGACCACTGCCCATATAAAACCCTATTTTGAAAATGTCTTTATATGAGAAAAACTTGCCATTTTTAATATTTATCAGCAGGGATCAAAGAAGGTAGTACTTTTACATATCAAATAGATATGTAGTTAATTTGGGTGCAAGATGGACTAGTTTTGAGTTCCCTCTCACATAAACCAAAAAACACAAGATATAAGTTTTCGTATTTTGTGACGAAAGTTGATACAAAAAAGTCATTTGTTCTTCTTTTACTGTGGCAAATGTGGATTATGAAGGTCTATTTGTATCCTATAGGGTGGTTAAGAGTATATTAGGGTCGCAGAAGAGCTTAAGAGAAATCCATCTTCTATTATATCGATCGATTCAGAAAATGCTTCTAAGTTTGTTTGTCCGTCTGTACGTCTGATGTCGGTCCATCCAATTTTTGTATCCCTTCTAATGTTCCTATGAAAGCTGAATCTCTTTATGCCGAAAAGGTATATTTTTCCAAT